GGGGGTGGGGGAGGGGGGGGGGGGGTGGGGGGGGGGGGGGCCAAGCGCGAGCGTTGGGCAGCATAAAAAATAGGCTCGACACCTCAGATCGAGGCAACGGTGGAAACGCCACAGGAGGACGCGGGGTAAGGGTTCTGGAGGACCTTTCTAGCTCAAAACTCGCCGGCGGGAAGTCGCCTCGGAAATCAGGAATGGAGCGGAAACAAGATGGAGCGCCTGCTACGGGAGCAGCAGATGGCGAAACGCGATTACGATGGCGTCCCCGTATGCGGGAAGAGTGTCTTGCCCCCAGCCTCCAAAACACCACCCTATGTCAAGTCCGTTCACAGGACATCAACGCCAATCCATTCAACTGCTGCATTGCGCCAGGCTCTGCACATGTTGGGTATCGATGGCTCGGGCGTCCCAAGCCGCGGAATCGAGGGAGATGGCTTGTGAGCTAGGTTTTGGGCTTTCATGACATTGTTGGAGGCAGCACACCGATGAACTCTAGCATTTTCTCAAAGAGTTGGTCCGACTCAAAAGCAGTGTTGCGGATAGCGGATCTTGGGAAGAAGAGTGGCAACTGTGCCCGACCGCACGGGCATGGGAGAGCGCCTGTCGATTACGACTGATCAGCTGCACTCCTTCACAGTGAGGAAACATGGGAAACGGTGCAAAACCACACCAGTTCTCACGTGCATGGTCCGGGAATCGAACCCGGGTCTACCGCGTGCTTAGATTTGGCAGGCGGTAATTATGCCACTAAACCAACCATGCCCATAATCCACCAGTCAATGTAGCTAATTGTTCAATGGTTTTGGCCAGCCTGGGGGGTTGAGAGGGTTGAGAGGGGGACGACATTTTACAGAACTTGTCACCCTCGTCGTTCAGGTTCTAACGGCAGTCTGTAGAGCCATCCCGACCCAGAACGCAAGCTCTGTGTTGTGTACCGAACAGGTCAATCTGGGGATGTTTGACGAAAGCGGCGAGGCGGTGATGTCGGGCGCATATCAGCTGATTGGGCCCGCTTGTCATATCCTGGCAGGGGCGATAGTCCTCCCCCTACCCTCTGCCCATGTGCCATCGCTTGTGTAGTTCTTATCCCGCCCACACGGCGATGACGTGCCATCAGCTTGAATCTATTGCAATGGCGTAACAGGCTGATTTCCGTTTCTTCTCATCTTTTGCACGTCCCCCAACATCTCGCCACAATCCATCCCCCACATTTCCCTGAATCGGTCCCCGAGTGACGGATGAGGTATGAGCGTGCTCTTGGGTGCGGTCGCGACGAAGGGTCGGGACGTCACGAGCGTTTGACCCACCCGGAGGTGATAACGCACTTACCATGGATCATCTTGCATGGATTTGTTTTCTCGACGACGTCGGCGGGCGCAGCGAGGACACATGCCGCGAGGGCGAAGATAGCGAGGACGGACGAATACCACTTGAGGTCCATGGTGATGGCTGCGTGTGGAGGTTGGCGCGATTTGGTAGGAGGTGCAGTGGGACGGGGTCTTGGGGGGCGTTGGGTATCGGAGACCTTTGCCCGCGCGCATTTCGACATCGGAAGGGGTCAGTGCACCGACAGATCACCAGCGAGAGAAAGGGGGGGGGTCCGATCCGATATCGGACTGATCAGCAAGTGAGATGAAACGCTGTGGTGGGACCCATGTCCTCATACAAAGCGGCGGCGTCTCATGCGGGAGATGCTTGGCCAGGCTCCAGTCTGAGATCAACGCTGGTCGGGTGGTAGAGTAGGCGGCTGAGGAGCACAAAAATGGAGGCGAGATATGATGCGAGCGATTTATTATTGCCCGAGATACTTGGCCACTGGAACGAATATTAACGTCGTCTTAAAGTGATTGACAGTTTCTCAACCTCAGATATCAACGATGATCGGAGTCCTGGTGGTGGGGTTGGCACCTGAGAAGCTCAACATGGAGGCAAGATAAGATACGAGTGATTTATTACATAAAGTAGGCGGGGTAGAAGCAAATACAAGAAAAGGAATGGGAGGTACAGAGAGGAGTAGGAAGGGGGGAGGTCGGGGGGAAAAGTGCGTGTGTTGTAGGAGGGATGGGCGCGGTTCTGGTCGGCACGGTGCTGCCAGGGTGCGGGCGGACGAGGGTCGGCATTCACGGGTTGGAGTGCCGATTGATGCCATGGGGCGCATCTAACTCCAACCGGAGCCCATTTCAGGCTGAACGAATTGGTCTGCGTCGAGCTCTTTCTCAGACGTTTCGACGGGCGCCGAGAGCGCGGACGTCGCGAGGGCGATCACGGCCAGGACGGACAAAGCCCACTTGAGGTTGAGAAGCATGATGGTGTTTTCGGTGTTGAGGTGGGGGTGATTGGAGATGGGGTACAGTAGGAGGAGACGGATGGTGGTTGGGGTGGGTTGGGGTGGGGAGATCATGGCCCAGGAGCTTTTTATAAGGGACTGGGTCAAAGAGTTTATTGATGGCGCCAAGAAGGCCAAGATTGTCTCGCTCGAAAAAACCAAATAAAATCCCTTCTTGAAACAAGCAAACAAAATACGTCCAACCGCTGTCGCTGGGGGTAAACATTAGTAACAGAACCCTAGATCTGACCTTTCTTGGAGGCAAGCAAGTCCCACGGGGCACAGACCACTGATCACAATCGTCGGAGGTCGTAAACATTAGCAATACAACCCCTTGGAGGAAAAGTCGACGGTTGCTTACAAGTTGTAAGAAACCAAGGTCCGTGGTCCGCGGGTCAACGGATAGTCTGAGGCTTGTGAGAGGGGATGCCCCAATGTAGCCCCATTCGTGGGAGGCATCTTGTTTGGGATGGCCCGTTGGGGGCTCGTCTCCAGACTGGAGAACAATGTGCACCGTCATCTCCTTCAACTGAAGTTCCATGTCTTGAACTCGTCCAATTTACCACCGACCCTCTTGTGGTTTTACTCAAGTGCCACATTGGGTGTCTTTGTAGTGTCTCCCCAGACGCCCCCTTCGGTGCCGCAAACGGCACATGCCGTCAACCGCTGATCTAAGGCCGCTCACAGACCAAACGTCAATCAATGAGAGACAATCCAATCAGTTCCCTCCAAGCCGACGTTGGGACAACAATAACGGCGGAGAGGAGGACATAGCGATGTATTCAGTTGGGCGTTCAGCGAGCCCATGTTCAAACCACCGCCAATATAATAATATTTGAAATCGTACTAGGAAGATGGATCTGGGCGAGCCCCGGCAGTCCTGTACTGACGGAGTTGGAGGTACCGCATTCAACGTGGATCACATTGCATGGTTTCGTTTTTGCGACCGCCTCGATGGGTTGGGCTGGTTATGGGCGATTCGGTAGGAGTTGCATTGGAACGAGGCCTTTGGGCCTTTGGGTATCGGAAATGTTCTTTGCCCGCACGCCTTCTGACATCAGAAGGGGTCCATCAAGAGCAGCGGCGGATCACATCTGCAAGGGGCACTTCCCTGTCCGTGTGTTGTTCTTGAAAAATGAAACAGCAACTGAATTGAAACCCTGTGGTGAGGCCCGTGGCATCATACAAGGCTGCGGCGTCTCATGCGGGAGATGCTTGGCCAGGCTCCAGTCTGAGATCAACGCTGGTCGGGTGGTTGAGTAGGCGCCTGAGGAGCACAAAATTGGAGGCGAGATATGATGCAAGCGATTTGTTATATGAATGAGGTTGACATGAAGGAGAGTGGAAGGAAATACAAGAAAAGAAAAAGTAAATACAGAGAGGAGGGGGGGGCTGGGAGTGAGGCATGGGGGATGGGCGCGGTCCTTGCCGGCACGGTGCCGCCGGGGTGGGGGCGGCCGAGGATCGCCATTTACGGATGGGGTATCGAGCGAAACTTGGCGGCGCATCTATCTCCAACCGGAGCCCATCTCGGGCTGAACAAGTTGGTCCACGTGTGCCTCTTTTTCGGGAGCGTCGACGGGCACAGAGAGCACGGACGTCGTCATGGCGAAGGCGGCAAGAGCGAGTAGAGCCCACTTGAGATTGAGAAGCATGATGGTGTTTGGGCGGTAGAGGTGGACAAGGGGCACAGTGGATCTTGGTTGGGTTAACTGGCGATGATGACCCGCGAGCCTTCTGTACGGGTATTGGGTCAAAGCGTCTAACTTTGAGCGGATGACGAGCAAAGTTGGTACCAAGGAGTCCAGAACACGAAATCTTGTCGACGTGGAAAAAAAACCAAACGAAATCCCTACTTGAAACACTGCAAACAAAATATAGAGCCGTCGATGTCATCTAAAACATCTTAACGCAACCCTGGGCGTTTCTTGGCGGAAATGTCGACGGTCGCAAGTAAAGGAATCAAGATCCACGAAATTTGGAGGCTTGTTAGGTGAAGGGGGCGGCGGTGAAGTAAGTTCGACACCTCCGATCTCCGCCGGCTCTCTAGTTTCGACGAAAGTGTCCACGGGAGCCTCGGACGCCCCCTCGGCGCCGCATGCGGCAAATACCGTCGACCGCTGATCTGTTCACAGTCAAGACTAGAGCCAATCCAATCTCCCTCGAAGACGGACGTTGTGACGGCAGAGAGGAGGATGAACCAAGCTCCAAATCGAAGTCGGTGTATTCTATTGAGCATTATAAAGTTAGTTCCAAGCCCATGCATGATGTTCATACCATCGCCAGTAATCGTACCTGCACAAGACAGAGGATGGATCTGAGCAAGGTCGCCTCGGCACATCAGTGTCGTGAGGGCTCACATACTGCGATTGGACAGTCTGGGGGACTTCTAACGCTCTTTACACCCCCCCCCCCCCCCCCCCCCCCCCCCCCCTCCCCCCCCCCCCCCCCCCCC